AGGTGCTAGTTTGTTGCATGCGGGTGGCATAGGGGGTGCTTCTACGATATTCAAGCCGACACCACTCACAGCATGGGTCCGCCAGACGATAGGCCAGCCACGTGCCCGGGATGTCCTGCACAAATTGGACAGGAACATATCTCGAGGTGATGTCTGCTCGATCCACTGGCCTGCGCCCAATGGCGAAGACAGACCTGAAGGCAGGCTAAGGGAACCGCGAGATGGGATTAACAGCTGCTTGGGGGTGACAATCTCAAGATTTGAGAGCCCGTCGGGTTGCAGACCAGCTCCTGGTGGTGGAGGTGGGCATCGGACCGAAGCAGGTCCAGCAGCAGATGGTCGGGTGTGTCGAAGGCACACCAGGCAATGTTCAGGTCTGTCAGTCAGGAAAGCGTCTGGCCACCCCTGCAAGGTGCAATGGCTGGAGCAATCATCACGAGAGCAATAGGCATGCAACAGAGTAGGGCCTGTTGCCAGTGCAGCTGACAGACCTCGAGGCACGACACAGCAATAGTGAGCACGGTGTGGGGAGGCACCGCAGTGCCATGTGAGCCCGACTGGCATTGTCGTAGATGTGCACACTGGACGTTCAAGGCCTGGATGGGGATATGGAAAAGAGCTCAGGTGCCTTTCAAACCCCCAGCAGATTAACGAAGGGACCTGCAAGGAGTCGGGCGTGCCATCGGGCATCCGGCAGGTCGGAAGATACAAGCCTGATGGCCCCAAGTGTTGCAGGCAGTGACTGGTGGGAGGAGCAACGAAGATTTGTGAGCAGGGAACCCACCTAGGTGGCTGCCCGAACCTAGGTGCAGAGGTCTGCAACTCCGAGCACTCAGTAAAGCGATCCCTGCCTGTGTCATCCTGGTTTGACGAAGCCGCCAGTAGGCTAGACCTTAGAAGAGCGGAGACATGAAGCTTGCCCGATTGATGGGAGGGGGGCATGTGTGTCTTCAGGCAAGACTGGCTATGCCGATGCAGACGTGGACATGACGAACAGCAGGCTGGATCCTTGTATGCTGCACTGGATGAGGCCGCTGAGTCCGAGTGAAGTCCAGCGGCTCTATTGGCCTGGAAGATTTCTTCCATTTTCTTGGCCATCTTCTTGCGGACACGTTCTTGGTGCCTCGCAGCTTTGGTCATCCCAGTGCCACGGCCTTTGGCTGCGGTTGAGGAGGTCGTAAGTGGTTGATCAGCCGGATTGTCCGTGACATCAAACCAAATCGATCGTCTCGGCTTGGGCCGTGTCTGCATCCTCCTTGGTTTCGGAGAGGAAGCATCAGATCGAACCCGTTTGGGTCCTCGTTGAGGTGGATCTGATGAGTCGGCCAAGGTAGCAGCCGAAACCGTGGTCGGAGCAGTGGGAGTCTCCGAGCTATGTGCTGTGGCCGATCGAAGGACGAGATCTCCTGCCTGTATGGTGAGCTTCGCTTGTGCAGGTGTGCAGTCCTTCTCTAGTTCAGAAGGGATGTGTGGCAGGCGACCACGTGCTTTGGGTCTCGGCTTGAGTCGGCCTTTGTCGTCGATCGTCGGGTCAGACCGCGAACTGGAGCTGGGCAAAGGTCTGTAGGAGGCAGAAAGTGCCGCGAAGTCCACAGCCTGTATCAAAGCACTGCTTCGTCGCTTGGGCTCTGTGAGGCGAGGGTTGGCCTCACGGGCGGGCGTCCATGTGGCCTGCACAGCAGTTCCCTCAGGCAGCATATTCTCGGAGCGCACTGAGAGCCAGAGGGCCACCAGCTCCACCGATTCAGCGCTTTGTATAACCTGATCAGTACGCTTGCCATGTTTGTTGCTCCCCGAGGGAGCATACACCACCTCCCACTTGGCAGCCCAAAAGAGACCATCTCCACATAGTGGTATCCATCGCATGTAGTTCTCCACCTTGTGTTGCAGGCTGTCGCGGTGTAGATACACCCCTGGACAGCCTGCCAGGAATCTGTCACCTTTCGACTCGTCAGTGCTCGGGAGAAGTTGGCCATGGTAGATGATGGAGTATAGTGCCTCCATCTTACATCCATGCCAGCCCCTTAGCCATCCATCCTGACACAGCAGCTCGCAGTGCGATGGATCCAGTGGTGCCTCCACCAACCATCAGGGTGCGGGACTGGGTCCCCAAGTAGGGTGTCAAGAGGTGTGCCAGTGGGGCCTTGCCGTGTCCTGAAGAAGCTCTGCAGAAACCTTTCCACATCCAGGGTACAAGCAGGAGCACTCGGCGGTTGGGGCAGTTGTGTCCTGGCCTTGGCCCCCCAGATCAGTACCCGATCTGGAGAGGCAGGTAAAGCATGATCGGCCAGGTTCCATTCAGAAGGGCCACCAGAAGATTGGGGATCAAAGGCCGGAGCGGGCTTCCTCTCTGTAGTAGGTGTCCCTGTAGCTGTGGCAGAAGCTGACGACTGGGTCGTAGAGCTCGTGGTGTTCTGCTGAGCATCGCTGGTGGGATGCTTTCTCATCCTCTTGGGAGGAGGCGGACTGGGAGTACGAGGTTGTGGTATCGCAGTCTTGCCTCGCCTGGGCTTGGTGGGCCCAGTCTCCTCTTCCCTCGGAAGAACCAGGGCAGGCCGAGGTTTGCGCCAGGTCACCTGCTTTATCCCCGGGTGGTAGTAGAAGGGCCGATCGCTAGCTTGGTCAACGTGTTTTTCCCAGGGTGCCTCAAGCGTAGCATCTTCCACCGGGGGATGGATATAGTGGCCAGCTGGATTCCGTTTGGGTGCCGCCGGAGGCACCATGGTCTCCAGGGCCTGATAGCCAAGGAGGTATCGGGCGCTGTAGATGGTTAATGGTGGGGGAGCACATCTCCACCTCAGACTCGGCTCCATTCCATCACACATGGAAGCTTGTGTGGCTTCCAACCCCAGTCGGGGAGCGAGGTGCTCCTTGTCGATTGTAAAAATGCGACGTTGTTCATCCCGAGGGCCTTGTATGATCCGCACATTCCGCGTAGTGTTGCGGTCACACTCCAAGGTAGGGAGCACAATCCCTCGGCGACCGACGAGATGACGTCTGTGACCGTCGATCACCTCCACTTCGGTCCCCACTGTAAGCGGGACGAGTGCTGCCTGCCACTGTGGCCGGTCAGGCTCGGAGGCAAGCTCCATGATCCCTCGAAGGGCACAGGTGGGGCTCGTGAAGACAGGATAGTCCCTTGACTTAAGAAGTTGAGGGGATGATACCTGCAAGTGTTCGGCGAGAGGTCTCCCAGCCCTAAGGGAAGCAAGGTGGTCAGAAGTAGTGGCTGTCAACTGTAGGACCACATGCTCTACCAAAGTCATCAATGTGGCTTGGTTTGTGGAAAGCTGCAGGCACACGCGATAACCACATGGTGGGGCTGCAGAATGCATGCAAGAGCACGGCAGAGTCTCATGTTGGCTGGTCACGGATTGCAGCTGCAGGACTGAGATCCAAGCCCCGTGGTGGGCGGGGAGAGCACCAAAGTGGACGTCTCGAGGGACCTGAGACCTGTGGCGAGCAGCGTTCGACAGAGGTACGCCAAGTGCAGATGGAGGGCACCGCTGACCTGGAGCCTTCGCGAAGTCATCGGAGTCTGCCATGAGGTCTGCCTGTGCAGTGCAGTCAGCACAAAGGATAGTCCAAGATAGCAGTGACAGTTGGCTCCAAAGAGGTGTCAGTACAAGTGCGTTGACAGAGATAGCACGTCTTTTGTGAGTCCCACTCGAGAGGCAGCTAGGCACAAAACAACAAGTCTGCATATAGGAAGAGACGGCAGAGAGCTGACAGCTGTCAGGTGCACCTGTAGTGCAAGCTCTGCAGAAAGCTCGTGCCTGGCCACCATAGAACCTGTTGTCTCTTGGCTCAGCTCGGTGGCCTAACCGTAAGCGTGAAAGTCCAGCCCGCCACTTTGGTAGTGATAGTGGCTGGCTGCTGTTGCACAGGTCCAGCTGGTGTGCCCGAAACTCCCTCTGCCGCATTGACACTCGGTGCTGAAGGTGCAGTCGGAGGAGGCAGCAAGGTCGTAGTAGGCGATGGAAGCGTAGGAACAGCTCCCATTGCGACAGTGATAGGCCCTGTGCTTGGTGGAGCACCCGCTGGTAAACCTCCTGGAGCCATGGCAGCGAAGGCCTGCACCGGTGTTGTCGGAAGAGACGTGCAGGATGCTGGAGTCGGCGGGGGCGGCCCCGCGGGCTTACTTTTGGCACATCCAACGCTTCCTCGTGGCCTGTTGACCGGCACTGGAGGAGGAGGTCCTGCTGGAGCACTTGTGATAGCAGCTGGTGGAGCGGTGGCCTCCTCGCCTGAGCTCGGTGGGCTCGGTGGGCTATCAGATGAAGAGGACTCCGGAGCCACCGTTGCTTTGGCTTTGGGCCTTCCAGATCGCGACCTCGATGGGTTGCCTCTCCGTGCTTCCTTGGGGGACATCCTGGGCTGAGCGGGCTATGCGACAGCAAGGCTTGAGCACAGAAGGCGGCGCTCGGAAACAGCTGCTCTGAAGTGCACCTAGCAACTGGCCACAAGGGTAAGGGGAGCTGCAGATGCTGAGTGCCGGACCAAGCACACGGACTGGAGGCTGTCCAATCGGGACTCTGTAACACAAGGTTTGAGCCCTGTTGCCATGGTGGGGCAAGTGGGAACTGACAGGCAAGAAGCGCAGCCATCATGCAGCCTACAGCCGTGTTGAGGTTGAGGCACTCAGACCTTCTAGTGCACCCATTACTGTTGGGGGTGGCAGGGTCCCGCTGTTTCGACAACATCTCTCTTTCTCAACCTGGCGGAGCCAAGGGGCTTAATAGTAGTAGTAGTAGTAGTAGTAGTAGTAGTAGCAGTAGCAGTAGCAGTAGCAGTAGCAGTAGCCGTAGTGGTAGTGGTAGTGGCAGTGGGAGTGGCAGTGGCAGTGGCAGCGGTGCCGGTTGTGTTGATGTCGTTGCTATTCCTGTCATTCGACAGGTTTCTCACGGTCAAAAAGGCCAAGCCCTTTCCCCAGGTTGTCGAAGCAATGCATTTTGGCGCAGCTGCTGCCTGTCATTGCTTGGGTGAAACGACACATGAGCTTAGGGCATATGGTCCCGGACGTAGGTGGTGAAGGGCTCGGCTCTCTCTCGAAGGTCTGGGGTTCGCAAGCAGTCGTGTTCGATGTCCTTGGAAATCTGGGAAAAAAGCCAGCAGTACCCACCCCGTGGATGGGCCGGCGGAGCTGTCTTGCCCGGGATGTCGTTGTCGCGGAAGAGGAAGCCTGCGCAATCCTTATGTTCATTGCACTTATGAGCACAATATACAGACATGCGCATGTACTCCTTCTGCACGTCTTCCATACCTTTTATGGATGCACCGTTCCGGTCGATGCACGCTGTCCGGCGGTGCATTGTATAACCAGGATATCCAACCGCCAGCGCCTGGCTGGGCGAATCTCCCAAAGCTTCCATGGCATGCTGCATAGATCCTAGGTTGGCCCTTGACCCTAAGGCTCTAAGGACTCATATCTTAAGGCTTTTGGGCCTAAAGACCATATTATGAAAGGCTTTTGGGCCATTTTGAGCCTTGGGGTTTAAAGCCTCTGAAAAACTATTCGTAAATAGGGTTCTGTTAGGCCCAAAAAGGGAACACATAGAATATCCCGAAGGCCTGCCCAGGATCTGGTGGTTAACATCAGAAGGCCCGCACTAAATACCAGGGCCATTCCAGCGACGCGGAGATACCAAGGAACGCTGGCCGAAAGCATCCTAGCGGCTGTTATTCTGGCCTTAAAGGAACCTCTACAGGAACCCCTAAAGGAACCCTAAAAGGAGCCCCTAAAGAATCCTTAATGGAGCCCTTTATAAGGACGGCCTCTCCCCAATCTCATCCTCCTGATGATCTGCTCGTATGAGGGCGCGTGGATCCTCCGCAGCGCTGCCCATCGCTCAAACCCGAAACCCTAAACCCTTCAAACTCCCTGCAAGCAGCCGAACCTTTAGGGCTTAGGGTTATTCTTGCTCGCATTATGTTTACCATTCTCGTTATTATGATGATGACTTTTATCACTGCTAGGACTAGGATCCTTAATGGCCCTTTATAACAAGGGTACCCTTCATCCTACTACTTGGCTTTAACAAAGGAACCCGCAAAAGGAAACTGGCAAAAGGGTACTACTCAGGAACCTATAGAGGCTAAACTTGAGATCTTCCATAAACCTTGCCCTTTCACGGAGTCAACTCGAGAAGATCCAGATCTGAGCCACACATCTGGCTATTGCGTGCACGACTTGACCGTGTTCGCGCCTGATACATACATGCAGATACCAATAGATCAGTATACATACATATATACATACACACATACATACATACATCCATACATACATATGTATATATCTATATATATATATATATATACATTTACACACATGCACGTATAGATAAACATGCAATATATAGGTGACATATGTAAACACGCATGTGTACATATATGTATATTATATATATACATATATATATATATATATATATATATTCATATACCTATGTACGTACATACATATACATATATATATACACACACACACACACACTTGTATATGATGTTTATAGATGCACATGCAAATATATGACAACAACAACACCACCACCAACAACAAGCAACTATGAAAGCTGCAAACATGACGATAACAGTATCAGTAAGAGTAGTCGAGAAACAACAACACTAACAACGGCTATACCAACAAGACTACCACTCGTAACCGTACCAGTAATGATCACAACAGCAAGAATTGTCGTACAGAGCATATTAAGGAGCATATTCGTAATGCTGATTACAAAGCACAGTAGCAGCTTTAGCTCAGATATTCCCTTAACGAGACGCCTCCATTACCTGTATTCCTGTGTATATATATATATACCCTACAGGAGCCCTTACGATCACGACAGATCTCCATAAACGACACCTCTATACTGAATACTCTATACTACCTATGTATCTCCCTTACAATATGTGGTTCGTGTGGTGTTTAGCGTGCTGCGGGATTCTGATATCCGAGCTCCGACCCATAGCCAGCTTGTTGAGATGTTGTGATTACTATTGCTGTTCAAACGTTGTTCCTGTGGCTTTTATTACTATTACGATCAAACCAAACCGTCGCAAACAAGATCCTCTTGGAGCCAACAAGGGATCTTATGCCCCGACAGAAGTAGAACTTGCTTATCTGTAGCCCCCTTCAACGCACGACAAAGCGCTTTTGCAGCCTAGTCGCCAGTATGCCACGGGAAGTGCAGTAAAGGAAATTGTTAAGACCCCTATACTACGCCAGAGAGCCACGGCATGGCCTGCAGCAGACGTGCGAGACCTGGGTGGGGCTTGGGTTCTGTTCCATGACGGTTCCTTTTAGCGTTTCTGCAAATGTTATATAAGGGTTCTGTTAAGGGTTTTCGGGTTTAGGGGTTGAGGCTGTAGCAACGTTTTTGGAATTTAGGGTGTGGGTTCAGGCTGTTCGGGATTAGGGCTCAAGCTTTTACTGTCTTATTGCCTTGAAGCTAAGAAATATGCCTGCTAACACTGGGGACATGAATTTTGGTTTCTTGTCGTTGGTCGATCAACTTGAGGCTTCGAGCCTTGCGTGTCGAGTTCAGCATTTGTTCGTTTCTAAGTTTTTGTAGTTTCTGCAGAGCTGTGCAATAAAAACCCCAAACCCTTAACTGCAAACCCTCAACCTTGAACCCTCAACCCCATAGGCCTCAACCGCAAACCGCAATACAGTAAACCCCATAAAGTTGGAAACCGGATTAAGGCCAAATAGTGCTGGGATTCCCTATACGCTATTCGTAAGGATTGAAGCTATGGGGTTTCCAACTGTTGGGCATCTACTGTAAACCCTAAACCCCAAAATCCTAAACCCCAAACCCCAAAACCCTAAACCCCTTAACCCTCAACCCCTAAACCCCTAAACCCTAAACCCCCCAAAAACCCTAAACCCCTAAACCCTACACCCCAAAAGCCCCAAACCCCGGAACCCTAAGCCTGAAAACCTTAACCCCTCAACCCTTAACTCAAAAAGGTGAAACGGAGGGACCCTTAAAAAGGAGCCCTAGGTATATACCCTTAATATAGCTACTATATACCCATTATATAGCCCATTATATAGGGTAAGGGGTCCCCATTAAGGGTCCCTCCTTCTCCCCTTTGATTAAACCCAGACCCTCGGTTCGGAGACTCGGGCCTTGAAGTTAGAATGGGGTCCCTTTAAGGGTTCTTAAAGGGATCCTTCAATGGATCTCTTAAGGGATTCTTCAAAGTCCTTGAAGGCGCGCTTTAAGGGTTACTTCCACTCTTCCCGAAAAGGCTTATTATATGGGCAAATATTACGGTTTAGTATGGGGGCGCTAATAATTAGAATAGGGTTCTGAAGATGTCTTTCACGCATGGGGACTATAAGCGGAATTATTCGGACTCCCCACCGCATGATCTACTCACTAAACAATCCCGAAACTCGACACTCGAAACTGTCCCAATACCCCATTAGCAACCCCTGAGGGTACAAGTACCCAACTAGTAGGGTTTCAAGGTCCGAAACCATTCAGCGGATGGATTTTGGGCCCTAACACCCTACTATTTGGGTACTTGGACCCTCTGGGATAGAAAGCCTGAAGCTCCTACAGTACCCAAGGTCCCGAAGTAAAACCCGAAACCTAAACTTTCCCCAACTCCCGAATAGAAAACCTAAGCTCGCTAAATCCTGAATCCAGACAGCTCGCTAAACCCTAAACTTAAATCCAAAACCCTTACGCCTAAACCTCAATTCCAAACCCCTACTTACAGGATCATGGAACTTAGTAAGTAGGTTATAATTGGGGTTATAAGTCCCCTAAGTGGGTTTAGCCTAATGATAACCTACTTATAACCTTACTTACTAAGTCCCATGACCGTTTAAGTAAACCTTGGTGCCATCAAGGATCGTGAAGACCCTGATTGACAGGCTTTAAACGCGTGCTTTACAAGGTTTCCGTTTGTTCACCACAAATACCAACACAGGTGTCATATAAGCCCTTGATTCCGTTAACGTGCTTCTATAAGGCTCATAGGGTCTTTGTGATATAAGTTACTTCTAACCCTAAGGGTCCAAGTTTCCAAATCGCAGGGTTTCAAGGTCCAAAAACCATTCAAAGTATGAATTTTGGGCCCTAAGGCCCTACTATTTGGGTGCTTGGACCCTCTGGGTAAGTTGATCTGCTTTCGATTGCTTTGTTTGCGGGCGTGTTCAACGCATCGCCTTATAGTTGGTGCAGGCCTCATTTAGCGGTCGTCTTGAGAAGGGCCCTGCTTTTAGGGTCCGTTAAAGTTAATACATGAAAGTCCTACATGCGATTCGTGCCGGGACTCTCACGCTGTGCTTTCAAGGCAGGAAAACAATGATACTCCAACTTGCCTGCCCAGGCTTGAAATTAGGTTCTACAACTAATAGATTGCAACTCTGTTGCGTTCGAAGTGTATGGCTGCTTATCTAGTTCTCTTGGAAGGCAAGCAAGAACGAAAGCAAGTGGGGATCCGGTAAGAGCACCCAATATCACACACACCAACAATTGAATCCCAGGAGTGTTAAACAGAGTTGTTGTTCAAAGCTGAAAACAGCAACACTCCCTGCTGAAAAGAGCTTCTGAACAAACGCCACATGAATATGCTTGGGGGGGGGCATATATCGACAACTTATCAAGGGAACCCTAATAAGGAACAAGTACATTCTAATCCAGGCATGTATTTTGTAGTGGTCAGCCGGTGAGCGTTTATGTGGGCTGGATCTTCGACCGAGGCCCCAGCAAAGTCGCATCGCATGGTACATGCTTTCGGTGTGCAGAACAGACACCCTCAGGGTCCAAGTACACAAATAGTAGGGTCTCAAGGTCCAAAATTAAAAACCAATCAGCGCCTGGATTTTGGGCCCTAAAACCCTCTTTTTGGGTACTTAGACCCTCTGGGACAGATACTCAAGCAGGCATGCATTGTCTAACATGATTGACGGAGACCGCAACAATAAAAGCCTTGATTCTCATTCGGGCACGCAGAATGGATCCTGCTATTATTGTTGTTGCTATTTCCCTGGTAGTATTTTTCGTGCTGTGAATCTTGCTTGGAGGTTCATGGGACTTAATAAGTACAGTTATAAGTACCTTAACTGGGGTTATAAGTAATTAATTAATTATCAGTGTAGCTACCTTATTTATAACCCCAGTTCCTATAGGTCCCACGATCCTTTAGGTAGAATCCTTCAAGAATCCCTTTGGTGGGATGCAGGGTTGCAAGTCCTGAAGGCAGACTGTAGCTTACGTAGGGTGCTGGTTTTGGGGCTTGAAGGATTTCGGACTTAGGATCCAGGGTCGTAGAATTTCAGGTTTAGGTCCACTTTGGGGCCTAAGTGTCGGGTTTACGGGCTTTAGGTTGAAGGATGACGGATTCCAAATTCAGGGTGGGCTTTGCGCTGATAGTGTTTAGCATGGCGCAGCTTCTAAGCCGCAAAAGCTGCGTGAGGAAATTTGGACGAGCAATCAACATAGTAGCAATATTGTAGTATTAGTAGTAGTAGCAGTAGTAGCAGTAGTAGTAGCAGCAGCAGGAGCAGCAGGAGTAGCAGTAGTAGTAGTAGTAGTAGTAGTAGTAGTAGTAGCAGTAGCAGTAGCAGTAGTAGTAGTAGTAGTAGTAGTCGTAGTAGTAGTAGTCGTAGTAGTAGTAGTAGTAGTAGTAGTAGTAGTAGTAGTAGTAGTAGTAGTAGTAGTAGTAGTAGTAGTAGTAATAGTAGTAGTAGTAGTAGTAGTAGTAGTAGTAGTAGTAGTAGTAGTAGTAGTAGTAGTAGTAGTAGTAGTGTAACCTGCAAACCCACATTGCTCTCGACGAGTGCACGATCCAGAAAATTGCAACTCTCATGTTCCACGGCGTGAACGCATGCAAGTTGTTGCTAGAACAAACAGCCGGGAACAGCTCCCAAACCATGCTTGTCATTGAGATGTAGCTGGGAGCCGAGGAAGCGCCCGCGAAATGTCCAAGATCTGATGTTCGAACGTGAAAGCATGCAGGTCTTGAACCAAGCATGCACAACGCTGATGCCTACATCGTCACATGTTCAAGACACGATGATGACGATGACGATGATAATGATCAGGAGCTGCGTTCACCAGGGTTCCTGAGGTCGCCTTTTTTCTATGAAGCTTTAACCGACTTTTGCTGCATATGGAATATGATATGCTGCGACGTATGTGTTCTAGTTTATGTTTACCCCAGCTTTTCACCCCTGTTCATGTAGATGTTTGGCGAGACCTGTTCCAACATTGAGCCTGAAATCATGTGGGTCATGGTTCCAGTATAGGATAGCTTTGCCTAAGTAAACCCAGAGACACAGTCCCTGGTTCTAGGGGGTTAAGGCTTAGGGTTGATTGCTTCGGGTTTGGGATAACAAGAACCAACATACCATCAAGCAGCCAGTCATCATCCACTTCCACACGTCGTTTCTGTCGTCCAACCCAACATGCAGAGAAAAAGTTCGGATCCGGATTGTCATCCTCAGTTTGAGGAAGTGGCAGGCCATAGGCCAGCAAACGCGTGCGAGGAAGTGGCAGGCAACCTGTCGGCTGCAGGCCAGCAAGGCGTGTGAGACTGTCGCTAAGTCAACTACCCGACTTCGAAAGACATGTTGCCAACCAAAGCCCTTACAAGGATAGTGACAAGCAATAAAGACGACCTAATACTTGGAGCAGGGTTTCAGGAATATGACAAATTGCGAGCGTGTGTGATATTACTCAATATTCCGGGGCCAAGACTATGCCTAGTACTTTTCTACCAATCGCAAGGATACACCCCAACAGCATGGCTGAGATGCAAGGTTACTGACCCACTGCGACATTTCAAGTAAGATTAAGAACGCCCGCAAACCTCAAACCCCCGCACCCCCAAACCCGTAGACCCCTCAATCCTAAGCCCTAAACCCAACCCTAAACTCGTCGAGGCTGATGACGACAAGTGTTGCCAACATGCTTTCGTGTTCGGCTTTAGGGGGGTTCAGGGGTTTAGACGACCCCCTAAACCCTGTACCCAATCATCTCGACAGCCTCGAACTAGGAACCCTGAGGGGTTGCTCCGCCAAGCACCTCTAGATCACGGCGCAGGAAACCGTGCCTCCCTGAACCTAAACCCTAAACCCTAAACCCCTAATCCCTAAACCCGAAGGACGTTGCTGCTGTTGAAGGGTAGAGGTCACGGCTATAACAGAGTAACCCGGAAGTGCAGCTTCCTTCTTGCCTCCTGCTCCTCCTCCTGCTCCTACTCCTACTCCAACGCCTACGCCTACGCCTACGCCTACTCCTACTCCTACTCCTGCTGCTGCTACTACTACTACTGCTAGTACTACTGCTACTACACCTACTAGTACTAGTACTAGTACTAGTACTAGTACTAGTACTAGTACTAGTAGTAGTAGTACTACTACTACTACCACCACTACTACTACTGCTACTACTACTACTCCTGCTACTACTACTACTACTACTACTACTACTACTACTACTACTACTACTACTACTACTACTACTACTACTACTACTACTACTACTACTACTACTACTACTACTACTACTACTACTACTACTACTACTACTACTACTACTACTACTACTACTACTACTACTACTACTAGTACTAGTACTAGTACTAGTACTAGTACTAGTACTACTACTACTACTACTACTGCTACTTCCGCAAACTGCTACTGCTGCTGAGTAGGCCAGACTGCAGGAAAATGCCAGCAACAGGGTCCCACAAAGTCGGATTTGAACACAGGCAGCCACCCGACATTCGTCAAAGATGGCGAATCTGACCTCACCAGAGATGATAAAAACTGGCAAACAGGTTTGCAAAGCACGAGGCCACACTGGGCAGTGGGAAGTCAAGAAACCTGGAAACTGGGATGAGGCTTGGAGCGCAAACTTTCATCCCTGCTTAGCTGGGACTTAGCCGCTAAGGTTATTGCTAGGTAACTATACTTAGGTAGAACTGTTACTCCCCATTACGTTCATACTAAGTCCCTTCATCCTCCAAGTGGTGGCCCTGCGTGATGCCCATCCCTGTGCGAAGCGGCCCTGATGCACCTTGCCACCTTGCATCAGCCCGACCTGGACCCTAAGGAACCTAGCTTTTAAGGGCTCCCTAATATGACTTCTTTAATTGTATAAGTCCATGAAAATGTAGGTTACTTGGGGTTAAGGTAAGCCCTTAGAACACTTAGTTCCCGGAATCTTCCCACGCTCCGGCCATGGAAAATGTCTTGCGCGCACATGTATCTAAGATACATGCGGGTTAAAGCTGAGATGATTCCTCTAGACCCCGAATTAGCCCCAGGTTGGGCTAGGTTCATTTCATGTTTATGAACTTATAGGCACCTAATTCTGGGTCTCTAGCGTAGTAGTAGGTTTTGGAGTTTAACCTTCCAGGTTTCAGGTTTCCCACACTGACGAGCTTGACACGAGAAGGTCCACCGGCTTCCTGTCTAATGGCAGCATGTACAAGCTTGTGTCAATTTTGGTTCTGCATATTGGCATATTGTTGCTAGCTGCTAGAGATGTGCATATGGGTGTTGTCAATATCAGGGTCCATTCTGGGTCCTTATTATACTACGGCACCTAATATTTAGGGTACCCCAAAAGAGACCCTAGTTTGTGACAGCCACTCATATATGTTTGGTGTTAAACCAAAGGGTCCAAAGTACCTGTATAGTCGAAGGTAGGGTTTCTATACTAGGAGATACTAGTATAATTTGGGGAAGTACCCCACGTACCTGTACCTATGGGTTGCTAATTTTCGTTATGATGCGGTTAAGTATGCAGGACCACACGGAAGAGCTACTCACCGGACTCTAGCGTTCTACACTTCCGTTGTGTTCGGTGAGAGTCTCTATTCCCTTTGTCCAGACCTTCTGTTTGCAAATCTGATGGAATGATGTTCCCTAAGGCTCCGTGTACCCATATAGCACATACTTAGGCCTTAAAGTACCTAGACAGGGACCCCTTTGAGGTTTGAGTATCTACTATAAAGCCTAAACCCCTAAACCCCTAAACCCCTAAGCCCTAAACCCCTAAACCCCTAAACCCCTAAGCCCTAAACCCCTAAGCCCTAAACCCCTAAACCCCTAAACCCCTAAGCCCTAAACCCCTAAAGCTACATGGAGCCTTTGGGGTTTTTCTTGGACCCAGGATCTCCCAATCCCTTCAGCAAGGGAGCATACCGTGAATGGGGTCAGAACTTTAGGGTTTAGGGTTTAGGGTTTAGGGTTTAGGGTTTAGGTTAGAAGCTGCCCCCACCCTGTAATAGTGGTATAATAGGAATATAATAGGGCCCTAATATAATATGAATATAATCCTTATGGTCACTACTACAGGGTGGGGGCAGCTTCTAAGGTTTAGGGTTTAGGGTTTGTGACTCAACACTTCACAAGCATGCAGCATATTCGTTACTTCTATCGATTGAGTCACCGGGTTCAGGGTTTAATCCCGAAACCCAAATCCCTGAACCCTAAACCCTAATCACTGTAGGTATCGATTTGGGATAAGTGTTAGTTTTCCCTCTCCTTGAATATATAGAGCCCTAACTATAAACCAGTTTGGGGACTGTTGAATGAACATAATCTACAGTAGAAGCCAGAAAGTTGGAACATCATTATCCTCATGCCCTCAAGGTAAATTATAGGAAATCCCAGCACTAATCGTCCTAAATCCATGTTCCAACTTTCTGGGGTTCACTATAACTCCCTAAACCCTAAACCCTATACATCCCTGAACCCGAACTCCCAAAACCACTATAAGACCCTAAACCCTAACCCCCCTCAGCCTTGACTTAAGGAATCCTTGCTGAAGGCTGGGGTTTCCCAGGCCCTCCGTCCCTGCAGAAAACAAAGCAAGACCTCCAGGAGGATCTAACGCAATACTGTTGATGAGATAAATCCTGCATTACCTTAAGGATCCTAAACTATGGGAATTATGGTATATCCCTTATTATGGGTAATGCTGGATTTATATCATCAACCGTAGACCTCTCAAGTTTGGACCCTTATGCCTTATGCTGCTAAAGGATAACTTTTGAAAAACACCCTGAAGGGATCCTTTTAAGGGATCCGTTAAGAGCTCTTGCAAGGGATCCTTAGGCATCTTCTTTTTGGATCCTCCGGGGGTGTCGGCAAGCCGACGCGGGGCATACTGCGACTCACGACGCTGATATTTAGCCAGACCCTGAGTTCTAGTGCCTTTTCTCTGGTGCCGGCTCCCGAAAGTCTATGTTTGGGTGCTTTTTTGGTTCCGGATGTACTACTTGGGAGGATCATGGGGCTTGTCAAATAAGGTTAGAAGTACAATTGGAGTTGCGAATAGTTCTAAACAGAGTTACCCTAATAATCACTCCAGCTACTAGGTCCCATGATCCTCCAAGTAAGAGAGCTTGTCAGAACAACCCCTCCTAAAGCTAAAGCCCTAAACCCCTAAAGCCCTGAACCCCTAAGTATAAGCCGTAAACCTACACCGAAGTTGCTAGACTCAGAGCCCTAAACTCTAAACCCTAAGCCAAAAGAGCTTGTCACTGCGAGAGAGGCTCGGGAAGCACCGACCTCCGGGGCGGCCGCAGCCTGCCGCCAGAACGTGTGCTCCGCGAGCCTGTTTTCTCCGACTGCGTGCCTTAGCACTCCGAATCTTTCAGGATTTAGGGTTTAGGACTTTAGGGTTTAGGATTTTTGCTGCTTAGGGTTTAGAGGTTAAGGTCCAGGTATATAGTGCCATTATGAAATTAGGCCCCAAAGACTATCCTAGTCAGGGTTTTGAGGAACCTAATTCCAGAATAGTAGTACATGTGGACCCTCTGGGGAAGTTGAGAGTGGAGGTTTTAGGATGTAGGGTTTAGGAACTTGATTTAACTTACTTGTAATTACAGGAAAGAACTGTGGGGATCTATGGTGAACACGGTGGCTTCCTTACTATGGTAACACGAAGTTGAGGGTAGCTTTAGGGTTCAGGGAACTTAAGGTAAGAGACCATACTTACAGAGACTTAAATTGAAATACCATACTTAAAGGATGTATAGAAGCTCCAATGGATTCCTGCTTATGGCAACTCAAACTCATGATGCTTAGGAAGCCATCAGTTCAAACTACTGCTCCCTTCACTGTGGATGCTGCCTCCACTTAGCATTGCGAACATTGTTGCAGGTCGGGTTCTTGTTCTGATGATAGCTGGCATCTCCACCATTCGTGGCTGTGACGTGCAGACGATGTGACTCGTAATGCACAAATATCGGCTTGTGTCCTCAAGCCATTTTCATTGTGACCATTCTGATTGAATTTTATGTGACATTTTGAGCAGCTCTTCTTTCGTCCTTGTCACAGCAACTACTGTGAAAACCGGCCGTGCGTCCACATACCTTCGGGAGTTTTGGTATCGTCAAGCCATGAAGGAGTCGTGGTTGGTATCCACAGTGTTACCACATTGTGTTGGTTGCATTTTGTTGCTGCTCTTTGCATTGATGGAAGCTGGTGTTTCTCTCAACGGTGTTGTTCAGTTTTCCGTTGTTTCTGAAAGAGGGCCAGTCACGATACCTATTCTACATTCTACACATGGTGTTAGAGCTGGGATTCATGCCAATGCAAGCCGCAGATGCACAAAGGAAGATCTGACAGCTTGTCTTCGTCAATCTCCGCTAGGATATTCACCTGCGCAGCATACCTGCAATCTTCCACAAAGCTTTCATGGCGCTCGGACCAAATTGCAACTTGTCTATTATATTGATCTAGTGACACGTCCCGCTGTCCTATTGCCCACGCTTCTTAGAGGAAACCACAAGTCCAATGCATCAACTTTTGGAGGTAGCATTTCCAAATGTGGGTAGGTTTCAATACTTGATGCTCATGTTGCTATCTCAGTCCCTAGATGGTCCTTTCTTCTGTCGGATTGTACGAGAATAGTCCCGGGGAATTTTTCTGCGATGGAATCGTAACTTCAAACCCCCTAACCCTGAACCTCTATAGTACGCTTATGGAGCCCGTATCCTTATAGAAACCCAAGTTGAACCCGGTTCATGGAAAATCTACCGTTAAGAACAAACCGACCCCCTAGCTTGTACAGGGTTCCCCCTTTTCAGAACTGACTCAATACCGAAAAAACTGTTGATTTCAAGGGTTCCTGTAACGGCTAACTTCTCGGGTCTAGAATAGGGGCTACGATTTTTAAGTATATTGCGCGGCGTGTGGAACAGGGAACCGTGAGGGATACAAGTATTACAACTACTCAGGTTCAAGATCCAACCTAAAACTTAACCCCTTAAACCCTAGACACACCCTCGTCTTATGGCCCCAGTACATAAGCTGCCTGGCAGGGTCGTGGTTTTTTGTAACCAGGGCCATACTGCATGTAGCTATACTTCTAGTTACTTGTAACCCCTTTAGGAGTACTTACTCATGACCGTACTTACTGAGTCCTATGGCCAACCAAGCACGGAGGCACAGGGACGCCAAACAAAGGTTTCCAAATCGCACACTCCATGCTCTCCGAGAAAACGTTTGCGGTGTAGACTAGAACACTTATGCACAGGCTCCATTGTAATTCTTTTTGTGGTTTATATTTAGGATCCTATAAGGTAACCCCCCAACAGGAACTACTATGGAGCTATGGGTAGGGGTGTGTGGCCTCCTGGCAAAGCTGACGACGCACTCGACGATGCCGGGGTGCTCCTTTAACGTCTCCATGAGGCTGCAAGTTGGCAAAACCAACCTCAATTTCGAGAAGAAGGGCACCTTAATTGGGGGTGCTTATAATAAGGATCCTGCTACTATGGGTAGTGCAGAGCCAGCCCCATTTTCAAGTCCCCAAGTGGGCAAAGCCAACCTCGGTTCAATCCCCAAGCTTGACGTCCCCACACCGAGAAACGTTTCGATGATCAGCTTTTGGTTAGTTCACAACCCCAAAAGGTCCAAAGTACCTTTATAGTAGAATGTAGGGTTTCTATACCAGGAAGTACTATTATGATTTCGGGAAGTATCCCCCATAAGAGTACCTAGGACCCTTTGGGAACAGCGCTCAATCGAGTACAGACGACTGTACTTGAAGGATCATGGGACTTAGCAAGTAGGCTATAACTGGGGTTATAAGTCCCCTAAGTGGGGTCATCCTACTTATAACCTACTTATAACCTTACTTACTAAGTCCCATGAGCCTTTAAGTAGTTGGGAGCTTCACAGTGCTTGCAGCCTGGTGGGATCGGAACATTTGTTCGTCTCTACGGTTAAGGTTTAGGGTTTAGGGCTTAGGGTTTAGGGTTTAGGGCTTAGGGCTTAGGGTTTAAGGGTTTAGGGTTTAGGGCTGAGGGTTTAGGGTTTGGGGTTTAGGGTTTAAGGAACAGCATGTCTTCAGCAAGCCAGTCCTGTAGTAGACCCACAATGATCCCAGACGCCTCATGCCCAAACGGGTCCTACTCTCTAAACCCCAAAATGGGGGTTTCCGAAAACAGGGGACCCTAATATGGTACCCTAAATAGTAGGATCCTTATTACAAGGACCCCAAAATGAAGTACCCCTACTTTTCGGAAACTCCCAAGTTCAAGACCCTAATCCAAAGTCCTAAACCCTTAACCCTGCTGGTCCAGAAACACCCAGCCGTCAGCAGTTGCCTGCAGCCTCCCGCGGTGGCTCCAACCTGCGGGGGCGAAGCAGCGCCTAAACCAAAGGACTGAGAAACTCCTACTTAAAGGATCATGGGACTTAGTAAGTAGGTTATAACTGGGGTTATAAGTCCCCTAAGTGGGGTCATCCTACTTATAACCTTACTTACTAAATCCCATGAGCCTTTAAGTACTCTTGAACTAACTTCCCAAAGGGTCCTAGGTACTCTTATTTACAGGGGATACATCCCCAAATCTAAATCGTAATTCCCAACATAGAAGCCCTCATTCTACCATAAAGGTACTTTGGACCCTTTGGGCTTGAGGGGCTGAGTATCCCACCCCAAACAAAGATTAATCTTTTGAGACCGCCGTGCAGGTTTATATGCCCAACAAGGTTCCAATATCCCTTAACTAAGGATGCCCCCTAATTAACTCATATAAGGGATCCTACTATAATTTGAGGTATATTACTTTATTAGGGACATTGGAAGGTCTGGGTACCTACCCATCCCGCGAGCCATTAGTTTTACGTCTCAGGTACCCAGCGTCCTGCAGGGATTTACGTTGCGTACTGCCAAGCCTAACGGCACCGGGCTCATGCTGATGCCAACCTGCAATCCACAGCGCATGCTCGCTGATGTAGTCCCCTGCTCCAAGAAGGGTGAGATTCTCCTGCTTTGAGGATCATGGGACTTAGTAAGCAAAGTTGTAAGCACCCTGCTTGAGATTAGCGACCACGAATTGTATTTAAAGTCATCCTGGTAATAGCCCAAATTAATTACAAAGCCTCAGGATCGTTGAAATAGCTTTAAAGCCCCTTTACACTAGAACGATATAGAAACCTTAAAGGGGTCCTCGAGGAACCTTACCTTACTACTAAGTCGCATGGCCCTTCGAAGTCCCAAGGAGTTAGGCTCTGAATTGTTCCTAACTTGAGGGCGCCAAAATTAAGCAGAAGCATGTTAGCAAGGGATGTCCCTACCTTACTACGCCTTGGTGTAAGGAGCTGTTTTTGCGGGATCGCTGTCCTATTTTTGCTTTGGTGCTGTTTTGGGGGCCGACAGCTATCTTACAAAATCGGATGATACCGGATGTAGGCCACATGGGGATCGCATGGACATCGTGATGCAGTTTACTGTAAACATGATCAAGAAGTAGCCGGTTGATATTCCGCAGGAAACCCTGGATAAGCAATCGTCGCCAAGCACGAATCTTTAGTGCTGTCTCCTCGATCTCAGCTATCGGCTGACTGAAGAAACGCCACAAGCAACACCTGCACGCGTGGATTCGGGCTTCCTCTTCCACCATGTCGTTACAAGAAGAGCCAATGTAGTGCGTTACGCCTGCAAACATTGACTCCGGCCGCGGCCTCGAAGACCTTCGCAGAATCTTAAGCCCTAAACCCCCAAACTCTGAACGCGACTTGCGGTGAGATGCCCTGCTGTCATTCCAAACGACTGCTCGCATTGCATGCTGTGAGGATGGACACTCTAACGGCGTAGACAACTAGTTTAGCATTTCGGCCTCTATGTAGCTATACATATATATATATATGTGGTTTTATTAGAGACATCAAGGATCTACAAGGCAATGTTGGCTTCTTGCGCAGCTTCCCTTTAACAATTGCCTTCCGAGCCTTGGGCCCAAACCCAGGCTCCAATGAGCTCTCTTTCTTAGTTTTAGGGTCTAGGGTTTACGGGTTTAGAGTAACCCTAAACCCTAAAGCCTATAAAGTACAAGCCAGAAAGTTGGAATATGATTATCCTAAGCCCTTTATGGTAAAATATAGGGTATCCTACCCTGAAACCATATTCCAACTTTCCGGAGTTCCCTTTAGGGTTTAGTGGCAACATGTCGTGGCAACCCACGGCCTCGTCGCAGAAGTGGATTCTGGCTTCGTTCCAAACCGGGGCATGATGGGAAGGCTGTCGAATTCATAGGAGCACTCAGCCTCGGCTTTTATGCAGGAGTTGTTTGGGATGGGGGGGGGGGGGGGAATTATTATTACTGTTGATGATATAAATCCTGCATTACCTTAAGGACGCTAAACTATGGGAATTATGGTCTAGTCTTATGATGGGTAATGCAGGATTTGTATCATCAGCCGAGGAGTAAGGATGAGGGGAAACAGGGAAAACCTGGAGGATTAATATAGACCCTCTCAACAAAGTCCCTTGTAAGAGAGCCTACTTCTGAAGGGACCCCTTCAAGGGGTCTCCGTAATGCTACCCAATTTCTACCGTGCTCGATTGTCTGCCCAGGTGTAAAGAAACCCTAAACCCTTTACCCCCCAGCCCTACAGTAAGCCCTCCTAAACCCTAAACCCCTAAATCAAAACCCTAAACCGAGGAAAAACCCGAAACTGCTCATTTTGTGACTCAGATGCCGTGGCCATCAAATACATGCCTTCCGCGCGATCTGATGGCATGAAGATGCAGTCGTGACGCATTACGTACTTTTCTGTCATGGCCTTGCCGCATATACTGTACTCCAAGATCTCCGACTTCTCACACCAGCTTGCAAACTCCTTGTGGCAGCACAAGAAAGACTTGCGCGCCTGGTGGAGAAGAGTCTTCAGCATACTACTGGAAAACGTCTCCAACAAGGTGGTATGGGCCTCATTAGCAGCCTTCCGCGCAAGTTCACGCTCCGCGTACTTCTTCATACTCAGGACATGTGATGCATCGACCCCGTGGGATGCACAATATTCCCGCAAGGATCGAATAATCTGATTCTTTTGGTGCCTGATACTCTGCAACCGTGCCATCACGTTCGTGACTTTGCTGATGCACACCGATGAGAGTCCCAATGCCAGGAAGGTCGCTACGATGGCCAACGTTCGTTCACCATCTGGCACGGTTTCAGACGTGGCAGCTTCATCATGGAGGTCGTTTGTTGGAAGGGTTCCTCTGCCCACATCGTACCTAATTAATGCTGCCTTCAAGGGTCTTCCGTATGGTGTCTCCACGGCCAAAGTATATACTACACGGGTACCGGGTACGGAGCACTTACGACATACTCTGAAGCGCTGACCAACCGGTGCCCGGCGACTCCCTCTGATCTAGCTTTTCGGGTTTAGGGTTAATGTTTTGGGCTTACGGTCTAGGGTCGACAGAGGGCGCTGAATGTTCGAAAGACGGATACTGGCATAACAGACGTTGCGACTGCAATCGTATCCGGGACATTGACGGTCTGATACTATACTTATGTATAAGGAACCCCACAATAATAGTACGGCCGTATAGTTAATTGTTCAGGCCCCTGTATTACTTGGATCCAGTGAACCCCAAACCCACGCCCGAACCTGTCTCGAGGGTCATGTTCCATCTCATCGATGATGCTGGGAGCCTTGACAATGATAAAGTCAACGATGCGAAATACATCGATGGCAAGGACTGTCCACTCCTCAGATGCCCAAGCTGCAGCTTACAGATGCATGAAGCCGCAAAAGGTCGCCCCTAAACCCTAAACCCTTTTTCCTAAACCGAAGCCGCAAAAGGTCACCCGCTGTCAAGTCTCCCCTACGTGCTTGGACACTCCCGCCACGAAACACGAGTGCCGGCGTCAGTGCTGGTAGAGGAAACGGCACAAGCCACTACTTAAAGGATCATGGGACTTAGTAACTGAAGTTATAAACAAAGTAACTATACTTATAACTACTTCTAGCCCCATTTAAGGTACTTGTAACCTTACTTACTAAGTCCCATGATCCTCCAAGTAGGTCTCTGTGTCTATCATAAGGTGCTAAGTTGCAGAAGCATGGTGAGTGCTGGTCCTCAAGCAAAACGCCCCTTACAGCTCCTCCTCTCCAACACTGCTGCAGGACCAAGATGCATCTCGTGCTCTTGCACCCAGCCATCCGGCACATTTCCCACCCAGTACCAGAAGCATGCAAGCAAATGCCTCAAATTGCGGCCCCCAATGGAAGCACCCATGCAAAGAGAGATAGTCAGACACATCCACACTTTGTATCACGTTGTATGTGCGAACATAAACGTAGCCTCCGTGTGAAACCACGAAAGCCATAATCTTGCCGTGAGACAGACCATACACCATGCCGGCAACATATTTGCCCACATCAACGACAAAGTGCCAGGAACCGCCTCGGAATGCAGCACCCCGCTGCCACTATGCATGTTCCGAATTGCCAGCAGTGGCAGCACTGGTAGTGGTGGTGGTGGTGGTGGTGGGTGGTTGGTGGTGGTGGGTTCGCACTGAACGGGGTCGGGTGCTGTTGCTGCTGTTGCTGCTGTTGCTACTGTTGTTGCTGTTGTTTTTGGTGCTGCTGGTGTTGTTGTCGCTGTTGTTGCTGCTGCTGCTGCTGCTGCTGCTGTCGTTGGTGGGGAGGGGGTGGTGGCGCTGCTGGTGCTGGTGCTGGTGCTGGTGCTGGTGCTGGTGCTGGTGCTGGTGCTGGTGCTGGTGCTGGTGGTGCTGGTGCTGGTGCTGGTGCTGGTGCTGGTGCTGGTGCTGCTGGTGGTGGTGGTGGTGGTGGCGGCGGTGGCGGCGGCGGCGGCGGTGGGGGCGATGGTGGTGCTGGTGTCGTCGTCGCTGTTGTTGTTGTTGTTGATGTTGTTGTGGTTGTTGTTGTTGATGTTGATGTTGTTGTTGGTACAGACAAAAACAGCAGCCCGTAATGGTTGTTAAGAAGAAACAACTGGGAATGCTTCCGGCGACCGCATAGGGTGCCTGTAGATTTCTGGGGAACGCGAGCCATGGTTTACACAGCAACTGCCCATGATAGAAATGCCGTGTAGGCTGGGTGGTTGTTGTAAATCGGGGGGCTACTACTACTGCTACTGCTACTGCTCGTACTGCTCGTACTGCTCGTACTACTAGTACTAGTAGTACTGCTAGTACTACTAGTACTACTAGTACTACTAGTACTACTAGTACAAGTACTCGTGCTAGAACTACTACTACTACTACTACTACTACTACTACTACTACTACTACTACTACTACTACTACTACTACCGTTGCTGCAGCTGCTGCTGCTACCTGCTGCTGCGGCCACCACTACTACTGCTGCTGCTACGACTGCGACGACGACTACTTCTAGCAGATCACTCTTAAAGAGCCCGGACACCCATGTAGAAGTCAGGGTGCCTAGAAGCCCACGTAGCGTAAAGGATTGCATCGCCTGCTTGATCTTCAAAATTCCTTGCATCTGTCCAGAGCTTAGGTCAGGTGTTGAAGTGAAGGCTTTCGCACAGGCTGCTGGAGAATCTGCTTTAGTAAAGTTAGATCCAGTGCCGAAGAGCACAACCATCATCCGATGCGAAATAGCACACCGCCTACAGCATACTCACGACTTGCCATGAACTGAAGGGTGTTGATATTCTTTTGGTTTTATATAAACAAGAATTTAGAAATGATTCCTGAGGAGGCCATAGATACACTTGTCGGCACCGCTGCTTACTGGGGAATGTGGACGTGCTTTGCAGACTGTATTTTCTTAATGGCAATTGTGTGCTAAGCCCTTACACCTAAACCTCCAAACCATACACTATTTCATGGTTTGGATAGGGTTAAACATTGAGTTGTTATTCCATATTGCGTTGAAGTACCCAAAAAATGTACAATGATACCCAACTTTGACAAAGATAAACTTGGTACCTGAACACCTCCGGCCGGGAACTGGCTTCTTCCCCTCCACATGCGAATGAATGAGGATTAGTACGATGGTGTGGAACGGACACAGCACTCCAAGTTCAAACTTACTAGAGGCACGCATAGACCTGTCGGATTGAACCTGAATGACACTCCTAAAATAAAGACGAATCGCCAAGATTCTAATTCTAACACGAACTGAACGAACTGAACCCATGGTGGGGTCGGCAACATCTCTAACAAACAGAGCACTGAGGTGAGCTCAGTCCCTCTCAACATCATCAAGGAACACGGACAGTGCAACCTGGTTCTGTCGGCATGTTAACGTGGGCAAGAGTGATGTCTCCGAGAGCTTCCAATATCCCTTAAGCAAGGAATCTACCCTAACTCGTATATTCGGGATCCTACTACCTAACTCATATATTCGGGATCCTACTACCTAACTCATATATTCGGGATCCTACTACCTAAGTCATATATTCGGGATCCTACTACCTAACTCATATATTCGGGATCCTACTACCTAACTCATATATTCGGGATCCTACTATAGTCTAAAGTATATTCGCTCCATTAAGGGCTAGTGGAAGGTTTGGGCGTGGGCAGTGAGGTTTGACCTGTTGACCAGGCCCCTTACTATTGATGATATAAATCCTAGGGTTTCCTTTAAAGGGATCTATAAGGGTACCTTTTTGGGGCTCCCTTAAGGGATCTAAAGGGTTGTAGGGTTGAGGGTTATGATATAAATCCTGCATTACCTTAAGGGCCCTAAACTATGGGAATTATGGGATATTCCTTATCATGGGTAATGCAGGATTTATATCATCCTCTTGGGCCTTTGGGTAGAGTGGCTTGCACAAACCAGCAGAGCTAGCAAGGGCCTCGTCAAGAATGGGATGGCATGCAGACTGAAACAGTATGCGTTCTCTGCTGCTGTTGCGATTCCTTAAGGGTCGATGCACCTATGTGGTACATACTACGCCTGCACGGAATCCCTATAGCAACTCCAAGGGATCCAACAGTTTTTCTTCATGGTCACATGGACCCTCAATTTCCTTGTCAACCCCAACCCCATATACCTTAAGTAGGTGGGGCTTTTAAAGTTCTTGAAAAAGACTAGTAAGTAAGATCCTCTTAAGCCCAATAAGGGAAAATGCAAAATGTCCCAAAGCCCTACCTAGTTAAACCCTAAACTCTGAACTCCTTGTGGTCACATGGCCCCGGGGTGATTCCTGAGTCAAGCTTAAACCCTAAACCATAAACCGTCTTAGTCTCGGAGTAATCGAAGGAAGCGCAGAAGGCGAAGCAGGCGTCCGGCGCGCACGAGTCGCATGAGACCTGCTCTAGCTAGGATACCCAGTAACCTAAGAATAAAAAGGCCTCTCATTTTTAATATTGGGTAACTTTATAAGGAACCTAGGACTACAAAAAGGGAATAAGGGTACTACTAGGCATCCTAGGATGTGTAGTGTAACACCTATGTATGGCCTAGGCTTAGGCTTCCGTTGTAACTTCGCATGTTTTCCACCAGCATATGCAGACAAGAAGCTGCAAACTAACGTTTTGCGTACCAGATTCGAGTTGGCTTCCGCCTCCGATCCCCCTAAACCCTAAAGCCTAAACCCTAAAGCCTAAACCCCTAAACCCTAAAACCCTAAACCCTAAACCGTAAACCCCTAAACCCTAAACCCTAAAACCCTAAACCCTAAACCTCTAAACCCCTAAACCCTAGACCCTAAACCCCTAAACCCTAAACCCCTAAACCCGAACTTCTGATCGGAGGCCCGAAACCCATGTGGGAGTTTCCGGATATTAGGGTACCTTATTTTGGGGTCCTTATAATAAGGGTCCTACTATTTAGGGTACTATTTTAGGGTCCCCTATTTTCGGAAACTCTCATGTCATCTCGGGCCCTACCAAAACCGCCCCCAAGTGCCCCTTAATGTGCTCTTAGATTCCTCATTAAGAGGTAGATAAGGGTTTAGGGTTTAGGGTTTAGGGTTTAGATAAGTGCTACAATAATGGGTAGTTGGGCGGTCTAGGTAAGCCCATCGGCCTAGAAAGTGAAGCAATGAGCCGCGGTCTGAGAGGAGAACAGATAGCCAATCCTTGCCGAAGCCAGGCGTGCTTAGGGCTTTGGGGTGTAGGGTTTAGGGGGTTTCGGGTTTTTGGGTTTAGGGCTTGGGGTTTAGCAACGATTCAGGGATGAGCTTTACCTCGAAGACCCAAGGACGCTGAAAAGGGGAAATTAGGGCTACGGGTCTACTTGGAAAATCATGAACTTACCAAGCAAGTAGCTTAAACTTGGGGGTTTAACTGCGTACAAGTGTGGTTACTGTATTATGACACTAGTTATAGTTACTCAGTCCCATGATCCGTTAAGTGTGATGGTCGAGGGTATACCTCGGGGGCCGTGGCTTGCCTGGCTGAACATCTGGGCTCGATTCACTTTGTGGGTTTGGGAGAATGCCAGAAGGGCTTCATTGAAGAACATCATGGCATCATCTCAAGGAAAATACAGGGGCATGTACCAGTGCTGTCATTTGTTGCGTTGCTGCCGCTGCCGCTGCCGCTGCTGCTGCTGCTGCTGCTCCTGCTCCTCCTCTTCCACCTCCGACTCCTGCTCCTCCTGCGTGAGAACTCCTCCGCTGCTGGGGCCTTCTAAGTTAATCTAGGATACCCAGTAACCTAAGAATAAAAAGGCCTCTCTTTTTGGTATTGGGTAACTTTATAAGAAACCTAGGACTGCAAAAAGGGAATAAGGGTACTACTGGGCATCCTAGTAATCCTACTTAAGTCCAGTTTCCTACGAACACTAAAGCTTAACATTTAGGGATGCGTTAGGGAACACACTTACAGTAGCATCAAACGCTTAAAGTCTACTTACTCTACTACGAAGCTACTGTTGATGATACTGTTGATGATATGAATCCTGCATTACCTTAAGGGCCCGAAACTATGGGAATTATGGTATATTCCCTATTATGGGTGATGCATGATTTAGGTCATCAACCGTATCACACCCAAGGCTCTGGGATGAGGATGCAGAGGTCAAAAGGCAGCCACGACCTCGCGTAGGCCTTCGCAGCGATCCGATGAGACTTGTTGGACTACTTGGAGGGGCAGGGGACTTAGTAAGGGTTCTTAAAGGGCTCCTTAAAGGGATCGATATACTCACTGGCCCAAAGCCCAAAGAAATAAAAGTTGAAACTTTCAGAACCGACTACCGTATAAAAGCCCCAAAAGTTGAAAAGTTGAGTATGAAGCCATTAAGTATAGGGATCCCTAAAGGGATCTATGGGGTCCGGTCTAGGGTTTAGGGTCTACTTGGAGGGGCAGGGGACTTAGTAAGTCGTTTATAAGTAGGGCTATAAATGGGGTAACTCCATTTAGGGTACTTATAACCTACTTACTAAGTCCCCTGCCCCTCCAAGTAGGGTGCTGGATAGGAGTAAGGTGTGGAATAATGCAGGTTACCCTAAGGCAACCATCTAGCATATACTTAGGCTTTACGTAAAGGGTCCCCTTTAAGGCTTAAATATCTACTATAAAGCTACATGGCGCCTTTGGGTTAGTGGTTGGGCGAGAAAGTAAGTATGACGGTTTTAGGCTTCGGAGCTCGGATGCTGAATCATAGGGACCCTTAGGGGGGTAGGGGGAGGGGGTAGGGGACTATATACTTCCTAAAATACGGTTTAGGGTTTAGGGCCTCATTAAGTCCTTATTATAGAAGCAAACCTGCAGGCCTTCGCAATGCCGACACGGTCCTGGACCAACACGCCGTCTACCTTGGAAACTTCAGGCTGGCGTTGGCCTCGGCCCCTGTTTCCTTGTTTACCAACTCCTGTCATTTCGAAGTGCTGTAGAGCCCAAACCCTAAGCCAGTCTCCCACCTTGTCGTTTTCACTGGGGAGCTCATCGAAACTCCACCGCGAACCCACCCCCTTTTCGTGGGGGATGCCTTCATGGCTGCACGTGCTAAAGCCCCCAAGATTCCTGAGTAGACCTCCCCCCCCAAAAAAAATATATGCAATTCCTACTATGTAAAGTCTAGGCTCTACTAGTGTTATGACTCTGGGATTCGGAAACATGCTTTGATGGCTTACGCTAAGACAATACTTCTTCAAACATTGTCGGCCCTACGTGTGAACACTCTGCCCAAACCACCCTAATCTGTGGAGGCTACCGCACTGAACTCACGCCATTTCGCATCAAATTCACACCGAGCCACATACGTCGCCGTGAAGAAAGACAGCACCATGTCCTCAGCTTAATAGCTTGTCTTTTGCACTTAAGACACAGACCTCCCAATATCCGTTAATTGAGGAACATACCTTACATCGTATCAGCGAAACTACTATAAGTTTACGGTATTTATTGCTGAATTGCACTAAGACTAAGAGGCTTTAGGGTTTACGTACGGTTAGTAACAAGTTGGTGGTGCTTCAACATGTGCCTCAGCAGGGCTTGCGGGAAGTGGAAGCTACTTTCCCCTGAGAGTCCAAATGCCCAAGTAGTAGGGTTTCAAGGTCCAAAAACCATTCAGGGTACGGATTTCGGGCCCTAAAACCCTACTATTTGGGTACTTGGGCCCCTGGGTTTCTGGCATTGTAGCCTCCAAGAACACCCCAATTAACGTAAGAAGTCATTCAAACCTGACTCCAAGCAACGGCCCAAAAAAGCTGAGAAATCGTGTGTCATGTTGGCAACTCTCTCGATTAGGGTCCCTTTTAGGCGGGTGCCGCACTCTATTGCCATAGGGACCCTTAGGGGTGTAGGGGGAGGGGGGGTAGGGGGCCTTAATGCCCATTATAAGGACTAATCAGGACTATTTAAGAAAATACCCCCCCTACACCCCTAAGGGTCCCTATGATATTGGGGGACCTGGCTTGCGACCCCAACTTAGAATTTAAAGAACTACCCATGTGGACTTTAATCCCTTGAGGGATCCAGGTGCCGAAATCGTGTCTGCTCTGGGCCCAAGGTACCTTTCCAGGGAATACCTGAAGTACAAAGTATGTATTTTTTTTGTACATGGGTGGCTGTCAAAATTTGGGTTCCTTTTTGGGTACCCTACATATTAGGTGCCGTATTATTATCAGGACCCAAGAAGGAACCCTAATGTTGAAAAACCACCCACGTGAACTCTTCGGGGGTTCCTCAGCAAGGACAAGTCTCCAGTGACCAGAAAGCATCGGAGGCCAGAATCCAAGAGTTTTGCATCCTCCTCTGGACAGCATCCACGTCAAAGACCTGTGGCAGTGTTTGGGGAGCAGGGCTTACTTAAAGGATCATGGGACTTAGTAAGTAGGTTCCTTTAAAGGGCTCCTCTTAAGGGGTCTATATCGGGGGTTCTATAAGGGGTAGTTTAGGGGTACTTAAAGGATCATGGGACTTAGTAAGTAGGTTATAATTGGGGTTATAAGTCCCCAAAGTGGGGTTACCCTAATTATAACCTACTTATAACCTTACTTACTAAGTCCCATGAGCCTTTAAGTAGGGCTAAACGTCTGATATGACTCTGATTGGAAGATCACGGGACTTCGTAAGTCAGGTTGCGCGCTCCAGGTACTTATGAGCGTCCGTGACAAACACCTGCGCTATGGTTTAGAAGGGGCCCCTACCCTGTAATAGTGGTATAATAGGAATATAATGGGGCCCTAATATAATCCTTATAGTCACTATTACAGGGTGGGGGGGCAGCTTCTAAGGTATGGTTTAGGTTTGTAAGGTTTCGGCCTCTGGGCTTATAGGGTTTAGGGGTTTAGGGTTTAGGGTTTAGGGTTTAGACCTTCCAATATCTTGTAAGTAACAAGTACTTCAAGTTATAGTAGTTTCCCTAACACAATTTACGAGTTTCCCTAACACGATTTGCGGTGTATTCCAAGTGTCGATGTCCACAGCTCTCAAAAACTATCTATAATTAGGTCCGCTTATTCAACAATCAGGGAAGTTAGAAAATATCTCAATTCAATACCTGGTAATACTTACTTAGATAACTCAACGGGTCCAAAGTACCTTTATAGTAGAATCTAGGGCTTCTACATATTCGGAAGTACTACTATGATTTGGGAAGTATCCCCCATAACAGTGCCTAGCACCGTTTGGGAATCTAGAAGACCAGACTAAACTCCCAAACCCTAAAAATCCTAAACCTAAACCTACAGTAGAAGCCAGAAAGTTGGAACATGGCTTTAGGAGGATTAGTGCTAGGATCCCTGATACTTTACCTTAAGGGCATGAGGAGTCTGATGTTCCAACTTTCTGGCTTCTACTATCAAATCCCAAGACCTTAAACCCAAAGCCCTAAAACCTAGACCTTCTAAAGCACTGAAGCCTAAACCCAAAGCCCTAAAAACTAAACGCTGAACGTACTTTAGAAGCCTATAGTACCTTCTAAAGGAACCCTTAAACGGAACCCTTGCAGGAACCCCTATAGACGCCTTAAAGGAGCCCTTCGTTAAAGGATTCTGGAAAATCTGGGGGTTTAGGGTCTAGGGCTTAGGGTTTAGGGTTTAGGGCTTAGGGTTTAGGGTTTAGGGTTGAGGGTTTAGGGTTGAGGGGGTTTAGGGTTTCGGGTTGGAATTCATTGAAGCCACTCGCAGGGGCAAGTACTCATTCACTACAGGGACCCTCGACGACTTAAGCATCTAGTATGCACTTGTACCCTAAGCCCCAAACCCCGAACCTCATATGTATATATATATATATAGAGAGAGAGAGAGAGAGAGATACTTTTTCGCACATACACACATACATATGTGTGTGTATATATATATATATAATATAGAAGTGTATACATATTATACATACATGTGTAGAAATATCGGGGCCTATCTGAAATGGTTCCACGTCTTCACAAAATTGGGTAACTTCCAGAGCTCACCAACACACCTTTAACATTTGTATTCGCAAGGCGCATGGAGGGGGCTCACAAGCATGTCCTGCAACAGGATGATGAGGGTAAGGGCGTCCCAGCACCTGGGTGCCAACTAGCGGTACGACAGGCTTCGGGTTTTGGGGCTCAGGGTGTAGGGTTTAAGCATGACAACTCTCAAGGTACTTCAAAGCAATGATGGTACAAACCTGTTTGCCACAGGGGTACACAAAAGGCAATGTCACGTCGTAAGTAAGATAGAAATCACCGGGGGCTTCCGGCCTACCCGATATAGGTGTCCGAGGAACCAGTAGTAATGGCCCCTTCAAAGTTGCTGTAGAATGACTAGATTACGATCAAATCATCAAGTCTCCCGTATAGACCCCACTGAAACTCAAAAACAAACGTGTAGAAACTTTACGATAACGCCTTTGCATTGACATGGCAGGTCCACTGAGGCCGACTGAGAATCTGGCAGACGGCACCTAGACGAGGGATACAAAATCCATCGCGACTTGCGTTCCTGGGCTCGAAGCTTCAAAGGGATGCATGAGCAGATGCAGGAGCATGAGCAGGAGAAGGAGGAAGAGAAGGAGGAGCGGAAGCTAGTGTAGTCGAGAGTATCCACCGTAACAGTAGAAGCATATGCAGCCGGACGAGTGGACGAATAACCAACAACCTTGAGCTCTTCATCATCAACCTAGACCCCTAAACCCCTACACCCCAGACACTAAGCCAAGCTTCTTCAAAGACTGGCATCGCTGTTGGCGAAGAGAAGATCCTAGTTCATGGTTGGGATAGGATTAAATTTCTATTCCTTATTGTGTTTAAGAACCCATAAAAATGTAAAATGTTACCCAACTATTACAAAGTATCCTCATCGTTTGAGATCTGCTGCCAGAATTCCCGGCTTTCATCGGCCTCTCACATGCCTGCATCAGTTCTGACTGCAGCTCTTCCGAACAGCCTGTATAGGCTACTTGGTGGTGTAATTAGAAAGTTGCACATGACACATTGGGTTAAGCTGGTTTCTAGTGGGTGGGACACATTGGGCTAGGCTGGTTTGTAGTGGCAGTTCTGACTGCAGCTCTTCGGGGGGCAATGGGACAGAGTACTCATAATCAATGGTCCGACATACCTTAAACTTAGTTTCTGAGCTCATAAGCCTCAAAAAGTCTACACGTTCAGTTCTATAGTGGGTAATACTATCCCAAGAAGTGTACTTCTATGTAAATGTGGTTTTACTTCTAAGTTCCGGAGTCGTCCCCTATTGAATAAGGGTACCCTTTTTCCAAATATTCAGCTTAAAGAAGCGGCCTCTAAACAAAGGGGTTAAGTTTAGGGTTTAGGGGTTTAGGGTTGAGGGTTTAGGTTTAGGGTTTAGGGTACTACCCAGGCTACCCAGGAACCTAAAGTTGAATGTCAGTGTAAGCATGGTAACCTTGTTTGTACCCCGAGTCCCTATAGGTGCCATAGCCCTTTAAGCGCCCGTGCTTCCGCACACCGCATTTTGGCCTTGCTCTGGTCCTGTTTGCATTGCGGTCACGGCCAAAACCCGGGACCCTAAACCCTGGACAACCTGGCTGGGTATGGCTTCTTACTATGCTTCCTGATATATATTTCAAAGGAAAAGTTTGTCAGGGTTAGGGCATGGTTTGAGGTTTTGGCGGCGTACCCTAAAATGAATGCTACCACTTTCGATCGCATTTCGTCAAAAATGCAGGCTGTGACGGAGTTGGGTCAGTTTAATTGCAATGAAGGGCTTTGTCTCAGTGATCGAGGAAAACAGACTCTAGTTAACCTAAGGACTTCTTCGGGACAGTATTAGGGTTTAGGGTTTAGGGTTTAGGGTTTAGGGTTTAGGGTTTAGGGTTTAGGGTTTAACTGTTCCGGCTGCCAAATTAGTAAAGGTCGGAAGCCAGAGGATTGGACCAGTCTGGGAAAACTTCCTGCATGTGCCTTGCTTCCCATTTTTTGGGGTGTCTGCACTACTGCTAGTCACTCACTGACTGGCCCAAAACCCAAAGAGATAAAAGTTGAAACTTTCAGAACCGACTACCGCATAAAAGCCCCAAAGGTTGAAACGTTGAGTATGAAGCCATTAAGGTCAAAGGAAAAAAGAGCTGCAAAGTGCAAACAACAATCAAGATCCAACAGGAGCTTAGCAGAGGACCTCGTTAGGGTTTAGGGTTTAGGTTGAAAGTTGCAAGGATACCTGGCTTTGGGATACTAGTTTTGTAGGTTGGTATTGCGAGCGGCAGTTGAAACTTGCTTGGAGCAAACCCCGAACCCCAAACGCAAAGCCCCAGCCCACGCAAGATCCTCCAACCCCAAACCTTAATGGAACAACCAATAGACCTAGAAGCAAATTGGGAACTCCTCACTTGGGCTCCTCATAATCAGTACCCCCTGGTTTAGGATTCCATATTAGTGTGCTGCAGTCTCGAACTTCCACCTGTTGGCAAGAGCGATGAGTTGTGGTTGCACTGGAAAGCGCAGGTCCTGCAACATGCGCTGTGTGTGTGCATGTGTTTCCATAGCCTACCGCAGAACTACAGGATAAAGGAGAGCCAGGTTTTCAAGCTTGCGGATGCCTGCTTTACCGGCATGTTCTTGTCCTTTTCAAACGTGCGTTCTTGATTCGGGAGTGCACCCTTCGCGGCTGGAACTCTACGGAAGCCTTGAGTGCAGCCACAAACACACTACTCGGGACACCATTAAATGGACGCATGCCTTTGACATTCCCCTCAGATAGTATGACAGCTCCTCATCCGCAGCAAGCTCAGGGTCTTGTTGCCTTGGTAGAGCTGCTTGCAGGGAAGTGTCCAAGTAAACACTGATAACCTGAACCCTATAAACAATGGCTACCGCTCTGAAGCCCTTTCGGCAGCTTCCTCCCCCTAAATGTGTGTGATCCTACGGGTTCATGCGCCGAAATCAAAGCTTTCGCTCTGCATGCTGGCTCGAATTGCCTGCTGCTTCACTCTTGCCTGCTGGCTAAACTCCTTGTCTTCTGTGAGGTAATAATGGACTTTGAGGCAAGTTTGTTGCTTGGGTCTTGGCAATTTCTGGTCTCGCAGGTGTTTGGCTTCAGCTGGGATTGCAGGCGCCATGGAACACTCAGGTGTGTCGTGGGCTTCCGGTGTTGGTGCACCTGATGATCCGCTAGGAGCATGCTTGGGCCCTGGACGACGACTATATGGCCTGGGACCACCCGCGGAGGAACCTCGAATTTGTCTTGTGCGTCGATGGTATTGGCAAAGATCGTGTGGTCGACGAATGCAACAATGCTTCTTGTCTGCAGTTGGCCCTGGTTTCTTCTGTGTCGCTTCGAGTTTCAGTTGTTTCATGTTTGCCAGCAAGCAATATACCTTCTTGTCTGAGTTGCACATTCGGACGATGAGCCTCAACAGCACGTACCAGGACAAAGTGACCTGCAGCTTGTCTTCATCAGTTTTTTGTTTGTCTTGGCTCCACGTAGAGGAAGACACTCAGCCGCACATAGTTAGTTGTTTGCATATCCGAGGTTTGGGCTATGTGCTGCGACTTCGCAGAGGAGGGCTTCGCTGGGGATCGCCAAAGCGGGTGGCCGCAGAGTCTGGAAGTCTCGGCTTTGCCTGTCAAGCGTCACCTCATAAGTCTTGGTGCTTGGACGTAGAAATCTGTCTTTCTCCGAGGCGACGATTTCTAGAGCCTCGGCAAAGTGATGTCTCCTGTGAAGCTCGACTGAATAAGTTGGCATGCACATGCTTTTGACTCAACTAGCAGATACGACCTGAGGAATGGGAGGCCAATCTGATGCAGCTGTGCTTCAACTGTGGCATGTATACCGTCACGGAGCAGCCTCGAAGCAGCTGCATGTTTATTCTCCATCGACGCTCGTCTCTTGTCTCGAAGCAGAAGACTTGTCTAGCGCAGCAGCAGATTCTTCAAGTTGGGTCATCTTTGCTTCTGAGGCCGCGGTGGATGCCACTGGTTACGAAAAGGTGGTTTTCGCCATGGGTGCCTTTGCCTACCAGGTGGTGTTTCCTGGCTTTCAAATGGAAGGTTTGTTTTCAGGAAGCATTTATCTGCAGACCGGGACCCTTGTGGGGAGCCAATGTTTACACTTGAGGCAGCCGACAGTGTTGTGTGGCACCCACCGCTCGGGTGCTGAATGCCATCGGCAAGCAGCCGGATATGAGGAGTGTGCCACCTATCTGAAGCCGTGCGGAATGTCTTGCCAACCTTTTGAATGTTGCCTTCAGAGTCACTGAGAAGAACATGCAGTCCACTAACCGAGGTACTTGAATCGTGCAACGACGGCTCGTGCTGGTGCTCCCGGAGCCAAGACGTTCAGGTGCTTTGGATATCAGACCGGCGACTTCGCGAGTCTGTCCAGAGAGAGTCTTGGCTGCATCAGATGAATTGGGGATCCGATCAGAGCTGGGCTGGCCAGGCACGGAATCTGCTCTAATGGCCGGGGCCTGCCTGCTGGCTCGACAGAATTTGCCCCTAATGGCCTTACTGCCTGCTGGCTAGTTACTGCCTGCTGGCTCGTTAGTACCTGCTGGCTCGACGCGACTCCAACCCGCGACTCGCGAACCGCAAACGCACGAGCCAGCAGGCATTAAGGATCTAACGGACAAAATCTAATGGAAGATTCTAAATAGACATAACGGCCTTCTTTAGGTGCCTGCTCGCTCGTTTTCACTAATGCCTGCTGGCTCGACGAACCGCAGTTCGCGAGTCGCCAGCCGCAAGCGCACCCGAACCGCCAGACGCCGAGCCAGCAGGCGCTAAGCCACCTGTCCCGTTAGATCCCAGGACTGAAGAATGGAGGCCCTGGAAAGGTGGCTGAACAGCAAAGTGGAGGAGCGGCGAAGGCCGCCCGAGCGGGGAATCCGGGATTTTCGCCCTAATGGCCTTAATGCCTGCTGGCTCGATTTACTAACCGATTCCAAGTAGCAGCATTAAAATCAAAACACGACCGTCCCTATTCAGATCCCAATGAGAAGGCGGCACTGAAAGCATGCTTTGCGAAGTTCCTGGATCTTGCGGATGGGAAGATCGAGAAGCAGGAGCCGGTCTCGGAGAAGACTGGCATTGTCAAGGCCTCTGAGTGGGCGGCCCGTGCTGTCCAGGTTTGGTCTTCTGATAGGTTTCCGTACATCTCTTGGCTGAAGTGTCTCTGTCGCTTTCCAGTCTCCTGATTGAACTCAATCCGTGAGTTGAGTCGTGGAAAAGCTGTTGGCCCTGAAGGTTGTGCTGGATGCAACCCGCAGATCAACAGCTTCAGTTCAGTGGGCATGCCAATCAGGCCGCGACAGCTCCTGGATTTGCCCTTGGAAAACACTCTGGAGATCGAAGACCCAGCATCCCCCAGTGCTCCGTCGGCTCCTTCTTTGACTCCGAAGAAGATCTACTACCTGCCGAGTCGGGCTGGAACGAAATGTGTCTTGCAGCTTCACGATGCTATTTGGCTGCAATTTCCATCTCAACCATAGATGCAATCACGAATTGAGACAACGTGCCACAGCCTTCGCACGAGGTGCCAGACTTGACGTCACACGCCAAAGGGTACAGGCTTCTGCTACGTACCGAAGAAATGTGGAAATTGCTGGACTGCGAACCCAGTACTGCAACTGGTACACCCGACTGAGCCAGTCATGCAGCGGCGGTTTTGTATTGTCAGTCACAACAGTCAAGTCTGAACCAGGATGATGTGGATCGTTGCGCTAACAAGTTAAAACTAAGGAGTGAAGGGAACACAGCGGACATCGCCACTGATTGGCAGATCGGCACTGGAGTCCACCTGGTTCGTCCTCACACATACCAGGGCCAAAAACACTTGGAGGCCCCCGTGAAGATCAACCTCGAAAGTTTTTGTCTTTGGCAGTGACCACTCGTCTCTGGGGCTCTCGCGCTCCCTCTTACA